CTTTCTTTCTTTCTTTCTTTCTTCCTCACACCCACACTCACACCCAAATGCCGCTTCTGCTGCCGCATTCAAGGCTGCGCTGGCCGAGGGTGGGCTGCCAGCGGCGGCATGCGGCGCACCTCCCCCGGCGCCTGTCTGGCAGCTGACTGAGCAGAGCCCGTGGGCGGCACACACGCATGCCGCCGGCGCCGCCCGGGCACGGGATGCCCTGCGCCAGGCCCTGGTTGGCGCCAGCCTGCGCCAGCTGCTGGCGGCGCTGCCACCCCAGGAGGCTCGGGAGCTGGAGAACGCCCGGCGCTTCCTGTCCCAGTTTTAGGATGCCGGGCGCGGCCCTGCCCCACGTGCGCACGGAAACAGCTATGGGCTGTGGCGGCGGCCAGCACCGGTGGCCGCCGCGCCGCGCAGCCGTCCCGGAACTTGAAGTTTTGTTGTCTCGCCCCTGCATCTCATAGTCCCGTGCAGGGCACCATTCTTTGATAGCCACATGTGTGGCACTCTCAAATCTCTTACACTCTAACAGGCGCTGGTGGCCTTTGTGGCATGGATGCCTTCAGTACCAATGGCTTGCCATTTACCTGCGCCTCCAGGCTCAGAACCAACAGCTTGTGTGGGCTTAAAGTCTGGTAAAGCAAGAACTAGCTTGCAACATAGACTCCCCGCCGAAACGGGACGGGAACCGGGCGAAAGCAGAGAAAGCAATAAAACAGGGGTGAAGCAAGGCGACATGCAACGCAAGCAGCTGACAGGGCACGCATCGAAACGTGTGTATGACTGGCAAAGTGGCATGGCGCATTGGGGAGAAACGCAACGGTACGGGAGCATGGGCTGGCCAAACGGCAGTGCGGAACGCTAGGTCACTAGAAAAGCAGGGAAAGGCGCACTATGTATGCAATGAGGGCAGCCCCGGCTCGGGGCCGTTGAGAAAGCAGTGGGCGGGAGGGGGGAGGCCCCGGTGTGGGCGGGCCCCATCGAGAGGGGATGGGGTGCGCAAGCGGCCAGATGGGGCGGGGCGCGGGCGGCAGTAGAGTCCTGCGGCTGGGTGGGATATAGGGCAATGAGCGTTGAGCAGTGTGCGATGAGCAATGAGCAATGAGCAGTGAGCAGCCCCTCCCTAAACAAAGTGAAGCGCAGGACGGGGTCCGGTGGATGGGAGGCAAGGAAACGCGGGGGGTTGCCACGTGCGCTGCCGCCGCCGCCGCAGGCAGCACCCCTGCGGCGGCGGCAGCGGC